GAGAGGAAACACAGTGGCCCAGGGCAGGGGAGTCGTAGGTGAGGCGCGCCTGGCAGCGCCCAGGAGTGCTCCCAGGAGAGCGAGAAGACAGGAAAAACGGGCGCAGGCGGCGGCCGCGGCGCTGGGGGCAGAGCGCGCCGCCCGCGGGGCTAGGCGGCGGGGAAAGTCCGGCGCACGCTCCACAGGTGGCCCCGGGGGGTCACTTGCGGTTGGTGCTACTGCTATTTCCCCCACTCCCCCACCCCCACCCCAAGCAGAAACTTGGGTAGATGACTAATTCAGGAGAGGGGGAGGGCTCAGGCCTGGGGTGGTGCTGAGCCCTGGTGAGGGTTCCCAGCTCACCGCGCCTTGGGCTTCGCTCTAGACCCCAGGACTGCGCGTTGGGGTGGGGTTCTGATGCACCTGTCTCTCTGAGTGTCCCCGCACTTTGGGGACATGGAGCGTGTGTGGAGAATGCAAAAGGGTCCGAAGGCGGGTCGCCGGAGCGAGCTTGTTCTTTTGGAAGACACTTAAGAGAGTTTGTCCAAAGTTTAACTACTTGCTCAGCCTTCTCCCCCTCACCGCTCCCCCACCCCCAAGTGGGTTCTTGTCGCTTGGGCTACCGAAGGGGAGTAAAAGAACGGGAGTGCGGTGATGAGCAGGGACTGCGAATTTCTCCAAACTCTAATGCCCGCCAAACTTGGCCCGACTAGGCCGTGGGCACCATAAGGCCGGCTAGGAGCGAATCCTGCTCCTCCTCGACCCACGCCCTGACCCTGGCCACGGAATATTCGCCCAGCGCTCCGTTTCCAACTTTCGGACGTTTTTCTACGGGAAACAGAGTGGGTCCAGCCAGGTGTGCGAGGGTAGCAGCTTCCTCCTTGCGCCGCTTTCATAATTAGAACTGCAGGCCGTTTTTGCCCAAGCCAGGCCTGGTGAAGGCGAGATTCCCCGAGAGCCCAGAGCTTCCACCCACAGGTCCCGACCTTCCCAAGGAAAAAGTGGGGGCCCTGCTCTTCCTGGGGCAGATTCTCGGACTTCTTTCTGATTTAGGCCGTCAAAAAGTAAAGCTTAGAGAAGTCCCATCTCCAGTATGCACCCTGGAGTTGGAGACGCCGGGAAGGCGTTGTGCATTTTATATTTTTCATGTACTTAATAGTTTTATTACCCCCCTACCCCAGTTCAATCTCACTAAATGCAAGTGTATCCCCAAGGTTAGACTAACTTTGTGGTTTAAGGATGAAAATTCTATAGCAAATACAAATCCAGAGAATCCACCCCTCTGCTTCCCCACCCCCTGAGCTCAAGCCCTTCCGGCTCTGGGGACGAACGATGGGAGGAGTCCTTCAGCAGAGGTGTTTTTGGGTTTTTCTCTCTTAAATCCTGGCGAACTTCACTGCAGAATTCCCAGGTTGTGAGAAGGCACCGCCTTGCAATTGCGGTGGGTCTGGAGCTGGGCCTCTTGTGGGTCGGTCTAAGGTTTGGAAGCAGGGACTTGCAGGCGGAAGCGGGAAGGAGGGAACCTCGGGTCTGATTCCGGCGGCGCTTAGTTCGAACAGGGGCTGGAGGCCTGGATCTCTGGGGGATGTGCAGATTTGGGACCGAGGGGACAGGATCCACCAGGACTGGCCTGTTGGGTGCCACTGGGCCGGCTTTGACAACAAGAGAGAATTGAGTTAATTTGGGCCCTCGCTCTTTGTCTTTGTTCCTCTCGGTCTCTATCATCCGGCGTTCACTTTTTCCCCAGTCGTCCTCCCGGCGCCCCCAGGTCGGGTCGTAATTCCCAGCCCCTAACCCCAGGCTAGGCGCTGCTATCCCGGGGTCCCGGCGCGGCCGGTGCATTGACTTGCAATGAAGCGGCTTTTCTTGGTGAGGACGCCC